TACAGAGGCTGCCACGAAACCGGCCATGAATCACTCGCTCTAAAGAAGGAAGATTCTTCTGCCGCTTGGCATGAAGGGGAACATTACAGAATAAGGGTGTCTTTTTATGTGGGTTTGTGTGCATTTTGTTGTGACTAGTTTACTGTGGGAAATAGAAGTCATTGTTTAGCATGCACAGAAAGAAACGTAGACTCAGCTGATACATATTTGTGGCTGCTCTCTGCAGGGACTCTGCAAATGCACCCTTCCCAGTCTTAAGAGGGAAATATTCCCCCTACTTCGCTAAGGGTCCCTGTGCAGTGAGGGCTGCCTTCCTAGCAGATACTCCAGCAAGAGTCTGAGCCTCTCTAAACATTTAAGGAGATAATGAATGACCTCAGTGTTACCTATTCACTGGAAAACAGTGGGCTCAGGGAAGGAAACGGAGTTTCTTTTTAAAAATCATCTTCTCGACGTTGAAAAATGTTTGGAACCAACATGCACTGAGGGATGATTACATTTCACTTCTGTTCTACTGAGATCTATCATAGCCCATGTAAACTTCACTGTAATAAACTTCACTGTAATGGAACTGTAATTCCTTGAAGTGAGTCCCACACCCCAGCCCATTGGTCCTTGCTGTACTGGCAGAGGCCAAAGACTGGAGTCCCTAAGTCTCAGGTTGAGTGCTGGCAAAATCACATTTTGCCAAGCGCCTTTCAAGTCCTCAGATCTTTGGGAGTATAGAAAAATAGATACTCCAACCATATTACCCTTCAAGCCTTCAAAATTAAAACCCTTGAAGCATTAAGACTTAGTACCAAGTATTTTTATCAGATGAGATCTTATTTTCAGTAACCTAAAATTGAGAGATGTGATTTTTATGAAGAATTTTTTTCTTTGTAGTTTAAGTAGCATGATTATATGATTGTTTTTTCTTTTTTGGACTCATAAACTGCCTTCATGTAATGTTCAGAATCTACATAAGGACAGTCCTCCCTTCTCTTTCATCCATAATCTCCTTAACGTTGTCTGCTTTTCCTTCTTTTGTTTCCTTAAGATGAAGGACAGGGGGAGCCTTTAAAAGTGAGGGGCTCCAGGGGGGCTGGAGCAATAGCACAGCAGGTAGGGCATTTGCCTCACACCGACCAAACAGGGGTTCAATTCCCAGCATCCCTTATGTTCCCCTGTGCACCGCCAGGGGTTAATTCCTGAGTGCAAAGCCAGGAATAACCCCTGTGCATTGCCGGGTGTGACCCCCCCCCCCGCCCCCCAACAAAAAAAGTGAGTGGAATGTTGGGACCAGAGCAACGGGACAGCCAGCAGGTCATGTACTTGCGTTGCATGCTGCCAACTCAGGGTCATCCTCAGAATCTCATATGGTCCCCTCTGCCTGCCAGGAGTGATCCCTGAACACAAAGCCAAAAGTATGCCCTGAACACCATCAAGTGTGGCTCAAAAACAAACCCAAAAAAAGTGAATAGAATGTGAATTTAAGCAACAGATTATTAAAAACAAATCCAGGGAACTTGTCTTGTCCCTGGAATTCTTCCTGTGCCTTTTATGTCATCTGACAAAAGGTTGACAAATTGTGACAGCTCTCGTCAGAATAACAAGCAGGTAATGGTTTGTGGCTACCAGCATAAACTGTGTGCTAAACTAGAGGGAAGACTAAACACTTGCTTATTTTAGGAAAGACTAGAGAAAGAAAAGATGACCCCTTTCCCGTCGTCCTGCCAGGAACATTTCCCACTACCTCCCACTGCTCTTTCCAAGGGAAATTTCAGCTACAGGGTGGGCTGCTACAACTGCCCCACTCAGCCTTCACTGCAGAACAGTGCCATTTAACCCTAAGTTCTCCGGGTTTATGCTTCCTTGTGAACTCTTGTGACCTCTGCAGCTTTTATCTGGAAGCAAATGTATCTTTTATTTCCGAGTAATATGCTCCTGAGACACAGTGCTCTGATGATAGTTTTTAAGTGGTTCATTACTATCAGCAGTTGCCATGATGCTTTTTGTAAATTGGAGTGCAGTTCTTTTAAGAAATTTGTTAAATGCTCTGATATAAGAGCAAAAAAAACCAGATGAAAGAACAAAATAACTAGTCCAGAAGCAGCAGGTCTTGATGGACTTGACGATGAATATGTATCCTCTTTGGCTCCAGGCTCCATTCAGATCGCACTAAAAATAAGGTACAGAATCCGCTTCGGTCTATTGCTTTGTGACTGTGTTACTGCCTATGTATATAATTAAATCTAGAAACAGAGGTATGTCAAATTTATTTTCCAAAGGAAAGAATACTCTCCTTGGCACATTGAAGGCAGGAAGTTCTTTCCAAATTTCTCTAAAAAACCCAGCTTGATTACAAGTTTGTAAGAAAGATGTAATGCTTTTACTTCTCAAGTCATAGCTTTGTTTTGTGATATAATTAAGGGCAATTACTCCAGTTAGAGATTCTAGACCAGGTGAGGCTGAGTTAATCAATACCTGTTTGCCTCAAGCATTAACAAGGGCATCTTCATTAACGTGGTAATGTGTCAAGAGTGCTGAGTAGGTTGCCATGGCATTCGTGGGTTTCAGCCTGGACTCTGGCTTTCCTGAAATTAAAAGTAGCCCTCAGTAAAAGGCCCTTCCTTCCAAAACAGACGGAACATTAATTCGTGAAGTGACTAGGACTTAGGAACTCAATTGTAAATGTTGGTGAACACATGAACATTTTAAGATTCGCATTAGCTCTAGCAGGTGTTTGTTCCTGGAAAAATAAAAAACAGAAACACCCAAAAGTGGTTTAATCTCAGATCTCTCCATCCATTCATTCATCATCTGCAGAAACTCTTCAGAAAATCCATCCCACACAGGACCGACTAACCCACAGGGATTAAGTCTTACTCATCACTGAATCCCCGGAGCCTAACACACAGCAGATGTTCCAAGAAATTTCTGTTAAATGAAAGCATAATTTCTGCTTACCCCTGAGGCCATGTTGGTCTAAGAGTCAAACATTCTGAATTGGGGTGATTCTTTCACTGACAGACTTCCAGCAATATCTGAAGACAGCAGATTGTCCTCAAATACAGTACAAAGCTCTGGAAAGGGGAAGGACCAGTTGGCTGTGTGTTTGGATTAATTTATATAATTATTCTCAAAGTGTCCTTAACCAACAGAATTCAGATCCTGAATCACTGAAACTTCCTCTTTCATATATGAAATGTTACATTATTTCCAAAAATATAGTTAGCTACAAAAAGATGAATAATCACAATATATAGTCTAGTTTTGGTTAACACGATTTCATTGTGAAATATTTTTTAAGATTCTGGGGGAGGGCAGTTTATACGTGTGTGTGTGTGTGTGTGTGTGTGTGTGTGTGTGTGTGTGTGTGTGTTTTTGGGGAGCCCTTTACTAGCCCTTGAAGTATATTTTTAAGGATCTAGTTGTCTGCAGGGGTATCTCTTAAACAGTGTTCAGAGACCCTTTGCTCTCTGCATGGAACACTCAGGCCAACCGGCCAGATGATTGGATGCTGGGTCCTGAAGATGTGTTTCAGCTCAGATCCTGACACACTAGGTTCACCTGAAGATACTGGGTTCGGGGTGGGGGGAACTCCAGGGCTACAACCAGGAATGCTTGTGGAGGGATGGGTGAGCATGAAGTTGCATGGATCAGACTAGGGCCCCATGCACACAGAGCATACATGCTTATGTCCGTGTTATCTGCCTGGCCCTTGAAATATATTTTTATAACCACACCTTCTATGCTTATATAGCCTGGAAGTATCAATTAGCAGAAGTGCAGAACAGTCCTGATTCAGAAGAGAGGATTTGCAAATGGCAACAGTAAAAGTGTTCGACCCACCTGTGCTGTTGCTCTGTGATTTTGATTCATTTGGATGATTCTGAAAACAGGTCTTTCTTTATTCACACTTCCTCCAGAAATCCAAGACCCTAAATATCTTCTTAACATTTTGGGAAAAAAAGCTTTGGAAGACCTTGGAAAGATAAAGGTTCAAATTAAGAGAATTTTCTAGCGAAACCTTAGTCATTTGGAAAATCAAGTAAAGAGGTGCCCACTTAATATTAAAGTTGGTGTGATACTCTTAGATTATATAGATATTGCCATTGTGGAAATTTTGAAAATTTTCATTTTATTTAAAAACATGAGGAGCTGTGAAGATACTACAGGGGTTAAGACACGTGCCTTGCATGTGACCAACCCTATTTCTTCCCCCACCCTACATGGTCCTCTAAGGCCCCTAAGTTCTGCCTGAGCAATCTTAGAAGGCCCTAAACACTGCCTGGGTGGCCAGGGTATCCCTGGGGCCACAGAGGGCCCAAGCAGAGCCACAGCCTTGGCTCCTCACATTGAACCACTTAACTTATACTCAGAGTTCCCTGGAGGACCATTCCCCCCCAAGAAAACAACAACATGAATAACTTCGTAAAAACTATAGAATAATTTAAAAGATCTTATTTTAAGCTCTCAATATATGCTTAAATGTATAATTGTCTTTCATGTAAACAAATATTAGACATTAAACCCAATTAGAACATAGTAAACCTTTGCCCCTTCTAAAAAAAACGGGAGCCTGGAGCTGGAGAGACAGCACGGTAGATAGGGCGTTTGCCTTGCACGCATCTGTCGCAGGTTTGACCCCCTGACACCAAATATGGTCGGGAGCCAACCTGGAGTGATCCCTGCGCTCAGCACCAGGAGGAAGCCCTGTGAACTGCTGGGTATTGCCCCAAAACAAAATTTAAAAAGGAGAGAGTTCAGTGGTGGAACCCAAGCTTTGCAGGAGGCCCAGGCCTAATTCCCACCAACGCATGGACCCCAGAACATTCAGGAAAGATCCCTCTCTCCCTTGCCCCCCAGCACCGTAGGTAAGACCCCAAAACCAAAACAAACAACTGCAACATGTGCAAAATGTCTCCGAGGTTGGCTTCATCTGTTCCATTAGTGCCCGTCGGAGTTTGCTATTCCTCGGAGTTCAAGCAGTTGATGGAATCTTCTCCTTCCTCCAGGTTTATTTCCATCTACAGAGGCCCCAGCCACACCTACAAGGTGCAGAGACTCACGGAATCCACGTGCTACTCCTTCCGGATCCAGGCAGCCAGCGAGGCAGGGGAGGGACCCTGTTCCGAAACCTACACCTTCAACACCACCAAGAGCATCCCCCCCACCCTGAAAGGTTTGTCACTGTGTGTTGTGCTGTGCTGGGCTCTTCTTAAAGCGCTTCTGCAAGAGGAAGGGAAAGTAGGGACTTTCAGCTCTTTTTGAAATTTGACTAAACACATTGTAAAGATTTCTTTCCATGTATATTTTATATACTTCCTTTGAAAGAAGCCTTTTTATTTTTCACAAATAATTCTCAAAGACAATATTAAAAAATAAAATAAGAAGTTCCATCGAAAATTATTACATCTGAGGAGAAACATGAAAAAAGAAAAAATTTTATTTTTAAACTCTTTCAAAAGATTTCTTTCCACGTATATTTTATATACTTCCTTTGAAAAGAAGCCTTTCAAAGGAAGTATATAAAATATACATGGAAAGAAATCTTTTGAAAGAGTTTAAAAATAAAATTTTCGGGGCTGGAGAGAGAGCATGCGGCCAACCCAGGTTCGATTCCCAGCATCCCATATGGTCCCCTGAGCACCGCCAGGAGTAACTCCTGAGTGAAGAGCCAGGAGTAACCTCTGTGCATCTCCAGGTGTGACCCAAAAAGTAAAAAAAAATAAATAAAAATTTTCTCTAGTTATAATATCCACAGACTATTTATAAACAATACAATATTAGTTTCTAATTTACTTTATAATGAAGAAAAAAGGATATTAAAAGTTTCAGGAAATCCCTAAATTTAGATGTTTGACATTGCTGTATTTCTGACAAAAAATCAATAGCAGAAAGGTATTTTGATAATTTTTAAAACTTAAGAAAATGTTGCTGACTTTAATGTCTCTAATGGTGATTTGGGAATGGTGAGAGATTTACTGTGTTATGAAAAAACAAAAGCATATATAATTACTGAATTGCTTTTGTTTTTAGAAACATATCAAATGAATTGAAATCACCAACCTTTCTTCCTTTGAAAATTAGTTATGGCCAGTGATTCTATGACCAGCTTTTCTGTGCAGCTTTTGGAATAGCTATTACCTCATTAAGCTTGTTTCTACAGTTATCTTTCCTCTTTATTCCACTGTAACACCTACTTTTATGAGTGGATGTGCCTATTCACATATGCACTCTAGACGTCCTTCTTTCTAATGATGTCATGTTTCTCCTCAGATGTAATAATTTTCGATGGAACTTCTTATTTTATTTTTTAATATTGTCTTTGAGAATTATTTGTGAAAAGTGTAAATTCTGTAGATATCCAAAAAAAATTATCAGATCTGACCCCTTTTTGTAACCTGAGAAATAATAATAAAATACTACCTTATTCATGGGAAAAAAAGAAAAAAGTAGGGACTTTGAGTAGAGGGCCTACATCCACTCTTCTTAAGGCGCTCATGTCCGTAGGATAGAATCAAAAGAACGTTCCAGTAGAGGAGAGTGGGAATTGAGCTCTCTGGGGGGAAATGAGAGGCCTGGAAGGGCCTGCTGATGATGGCATTTCTCAAGTATAAATGACTCCTGGTTATAACTTAACGGTGAAACATTCTTATCCCGTGGGGTTGCAGATGGATGAACGTGAAAAGAAACATACCCAAGACTTTGGTTTAGAGTGAAGGTGAATCCTGGTGTTGGAAAGGGCTGGTAACACTTTGCATAGAATAGTCAGTATTTCCTTTCGGTAGCACTGTATGGTCCCACAACCATCACTAGGCGTGACCCTTGAGCACAGAGCCAACAATAAGCCCTGAGCACAGTTGACTATGACTCAAAAGCAAAGCAACACAAAACACCAAACTGCCTCTAAAGAATTAAAAATAATAAAATAAAGCAGTTCCAAAAAAGAGAGAAGTTGCACATTCTAGTATAAAATAGAATACAGGATACTAGGGCTATAGAGATATAGCCAGTGTTATGGAAAATATTTTAAATTCCATGACACTTTAAATGCTTTCTTACAGCCTAATATAATTTAATCTACAAGAAGTCTGGTGGGTGAAAAATAAACCAAAACAATACAAATATTTCATTAATTTTTCCAGTGCTGCCCAGTCTCTGTCCTTTGTATCAACTGTGCCGTGTGTCAGATGTGACTTTGCCACTAATGTGACTTGTTTCTCAGACACTTGCACATGTAACTTTCCTTCCTGGAGGAACTCCTCTAGTGTTTTTTTTTTTAATTTTTTTTGGGGGGGAGCATGCGGGTGGCAGGGTGGGGAGGACACTTGGCTCAGTGTTCGGGGATCCCTTTCAATGATGCTTGAGGGACCTTGAGGTGCCATCTATCAAACCTGGGACTCCAGCATGCAAAGCATGTTCTCCGGCCCTTTAAGATATCTTCCAGTCCCAGAGAGAGCACAGCAGGTAGGGCATTTGCCTTGCATTCAGCCGACCCGGGTTCAATTGCTAGCATCCCATATGGTCCCTGGAGCACCACCAGGAGTAATTCCTGAGTGCAAAACCAGGAGTAACCCCATTGTCCAGGTTGCTCACAAAAAAGAAAAAAAGAAAAAACATATATATACACATATACATATACATATACATATACATATATATATATCTTCCAGTCTCTTGTTTTTATAATTTGTACTTTTATAATCTGCCATCTTTGTACCTCATACCGTGCTCTCTTCTTCCCTCAAATAAATCTTGATTGACATAAAATAGGGTTTAGTGTGCCTATTTTTTTAATCCCCTGTCTTATCTAGCACAGAGCACAACCGGAGGGAGTACTCAATAGGCATCCAAATATATAGATAGCAAAAATGTGATCCAAGCCAAGAATTTAATAACAGAAGAATAAGCAAGGAAATTCTAAACAGTGGCATACTGCTCCTGGCATATCTCACTTATGTAAAAAGCTCCTGGCTGCTTTTCTCATTAGCTGGGCAGACAAATTGCCCTCTGGGTTCTCAAAGATGACTGTTGACATGATACTCTGAATTTTGAACTTGGCTGTATGGGTTTGTATTTCAGCACCTCGAGTAACCCAGTTAGAAGGAAATTCATGTGAAATTTTATGGGAGACGGTACCACCAATGAGAGGAGACCCTGTCAGTTACATTCTGCAGGTGTTGGTTGGAAGAGAATCGGAGTACAAGCAGGTAAGAACCAGCATGCGGGCTCTAGCATGACCTCGGAGTCAGGCTGGCTTTTCGCCTCTGCCAGTTGTGCTGAATGACAATTTTTTAGCCAGTCACAGACAGTCTGAGACAGACCTATTAACAAGTTAAGGAAGTTCTCCCTTGTATTGTAATTTTATGTGATGGTATTCACCTTAAAATTTTAGTTCTCAAGCATCATCTTGTGAAGAGTTTGAAGTTCTTTATTTGCAGTTGGCTTTGGCCATTATATTCACAAATTGCGTAGTCTACATCATTGAAAACTGAAATACCAACAGTTTGACAATGGTGAACAAACTGTCTCCACCTACTGAAACTTATGTCCTATCATTTTCACTGAAGTTCTAATGAGTAGATAAGGAAGATAAATAACCTTTAGACTGTTGAGTCCTTTGATGCTGTTGTCACTGCTTGTCACTTTGTAATATGTACAGGAATCACTAGAAGTGTGTTTAAATTCTGATTTACTAGTAGGAGTGAAAAGTTCCAGGTAGGGACAAGCTCATAGGTGAGGCTGATGTTTTGCTCCTCCATAATTTGAGGAGCTCGGCTGTACAGATCACCTATCAATCTATGCAAGAGAAAATGGGAATATTACCAGAGAATTTGGTTTTTATTATTTTCATGCTCCTTTTTTTATCTTTGTTGCTTTCAAAGCCACCAATCGTTATTTTATGCCAATGAAACCCACAGGTATTCTCTAGATTTCTGTAGTGTTCCCAGGAACTTAGGAACCATTTGTGTGAGGTCAGCCTGTGTTATTCCAGAAGGTAGCTAACCCACTCCCTATTAGTACTTATATTAGAAGCACGTATTTATACCAGATTCAACTGAAGTTAAAAATAAAAAGAATCAAGAAAATTTGATTATACTTCACTCCAACCCTGTTCATGTGAAGTGCAACAAAAGAATAGATTTCTGACATGTTACAAGGACTGATTAACATCACAAAGTGATACCACCAAAGTTTCCACCATTCCTCTTTCAGAACAAAATACTTGTTTTCTTTCACTTTCTAATTTCACCCTGCACAGGAGATCCCAAGTAAGAAAATAACTGATTTTATATGTATGATTGTTTCATCTTACCAGAAGGATAAGACTGGTTTCAGGACAATAGCTCGCATCAAGAGCCAAGTATCTTCCCCACCACTTAGTCACTTCTAATCAATAGTACTATACTGTTGTTACTTGACAATTTAAAAATGGCCAAAAAAGGTGTTGCGGAAATTCAGTTCCCAGTAGTACATCCATTACTTGGCCATCATTATATTTTAAAAATGCTCTCTCTGAACAAAAGGGAATGCCCTGCCACAGAGGCAGGGTGGGATGAGGGGGATGGGGGTGGGAGGGATACTGGGATTCGTGGTGGTGGAAAATGGGCACTGGTGGAGGGATGGGTATTTGATCATTGTATAATTGAAACCCAAGCACAAAAATTTGTAAGTCTACAACTGTACCTCATGGTGTTTCACTAATAAGAAGTAAAAGTAAAGTAAAGGCCCTCCCGTTGATAATCGATTTGCTAGAGCGGACCCAGTAACGTCTCCATTGGAGACTTTGTTGTTACTGTGTCTGGCATATCGAATACTCTCGGTAGCTTGCCGGGCTCTCCGAGAGGGGTGGAGGAATCGAACTCGGGTCGGCCATGTTGGCTGCATGCAAGGCTGACGCCCTACCCGCTGTGCTATCGCTCCAGCCCTGTGCTATCGCTCCAGCCCGATAGCACAGTGGTAGGGCGTTCACTAATAAGAATAAAAAATAAAAATACTCTTTCTATATATATATTTAAATATATATATTAAATATATATAATAGTTATTTACATTTGTATATATATATAAAAATATATATTTCTACCTGTCCTTGGGAAAATATTCTGTTTCTCAGTGCACAGAGATTATTGTTTCACGGTGAAAGTGCAACATTATTTGCTCGGCATATTTGTTTATGCCAAACACTGACATATAAATGTAAGTAAACCCATTCACATTTAAAGACTTTATTGGCAGAATGGCTATTTGAAGATTTCATTGGCAGAAAAGTAGTTTGAATCTTAATTATTTATTGTTAAGTATTCCGACTCATTGACTTGTAAATACTGGTATAATAATCACACATATTCCTCATACTTTCAATTCTGAATAGGAATTTCTAGGGGCTTGGGATGGGGGAGAAATATTACTACCGGCCAGGTTCAGTGGAGGAGAATTGAGAGCCCCCACATAACCGTGTGTTTCCTGCCTTTACTCAGAAATGATTAAGCGCGGGTAGTGGTACATGAAAAGCCTCCGTTGAGTCAGGGACTGTTTGTTCTGAATTTTTTGCGTCTCCCTGTTCAGTCAGCATTACCTTAAACATGATGTTTGGGGTTCTTCATTCACTTGTTCTGCACACAAGATGAGGATGAAAGCCATTTATATTATGTGTGCAGAGTAATGGTTAAACTAATTACAGTCCAGAGAGGATAACAGGCTTTGAAATCATTGAGGCCAAGCAAAAGAAAATAAAAGGAAACCGCTGCTGAGCAAAATGCAGGGCAGAGCTCCAAGCTGCTCGGAGCCCTGTGTACCCCAGGTACGGAGCTCAGCACCCAGTGGTACTCAGTGCTTACTCCTGACTCTTTGCTCAGGGATCACTCCTTGTTGGGCTTTGGGAACCATTCGGTGCCAAGGATTAAACCGGGGTGAGCCACGTGCAGTGCAAGCACTCTACCCAATCTGCTCTGACTCTGCCCATGTTTTTCTGAATTTTTTTTAATGAGAGGTAATGGTGTATGGCCATACCTAGTATAGCTCAAGTGAAACCCTGCCTCTGTGCTCAGGGTTGAGTTCTGGCCTTGCTCGGGTGACAGTGATCGAAACAGGCCAGTTACATGCAAGGCAAGCTCCTTGCCCCCTCTCGTATCACTCCAGCCCCTGTTTGGCTTATTCTTAAAATGTATTGGCTTACAGTTAGTTCCCTTTTACTATCTAATGAAGACTATGACCTCACCCCAGAAAAAAAAAATGCTAAGGCCTGGTGTTTATGTAAATTCTCTTATGAAACAAAGTCTTATTCCGTTTTGTGAAATCTAGGTTGTAGGACCCAAGTTTACCAAGAAACTCTGCTTTGTACTGTGAAGGAAGTCTGGAATGGGCGTCACAGTGCTCTCAGCGGTAATAAGCATGCCTCAGGAAGCAGCCGGGTAGCAGTATTCTTAGCCTTAGCTCTTCAGCTCAAGCTCAGGGAGGCCTGACCAGCTTGGTGCTCTCTGCAGAGCAGTGCGCTCCTCCTTGAGTCGGGGGCTCCCCTAGTCACATGATATTGAAGATTTTACTTTACCTCTCAGAGCTTTGGCTGACTTGTAAAAGTAGGGATACTAATCCTCTAATGGGATGACTGCGAGTGGCATTTCTGCTCCATTGGGTGTGTGCTGTGTAATGAAGGTGTTGGGCGGCTCCCAGTCCCTTTCATGCTCAGCAAAGGCTGCCAGCATCAGCCACAAGAGAACGTCCGGGAGCCCCCATCACCCAGGGGCTCTGCTTAAAAGATTTCACGTCATGATATTCTGTATTTGGGCTTACCGACCCTTCATGTGGGTTATATGGGTATTTAAATCCTCCCATGTGGGCAAAATAACATGTCAGATTTGCTTTAAAATATACATCAAATCAAGAACAGAAATAGTCTTTGTAAAAACAGGATCGCGTGTATACTTGATGCAGTATGATGATTGGTTACTTCAATAAAGGGGACCTTAAATGGAGCTCAGCCTTTTAAATCGGGTTCAGGCGAGAGGGAAAACTCATCATGTGTCCCTGTCAGAGGGAATGAAAACAAAGGGTCTGAAGCCCAGCCTGCTCCCCGCAGTGGACAGTTGCATGGCTCATGGGAGGTTGCTTGGTGGAGGTACAGCTGGACAGCAGGCCTGAGGACCTTCTGATTTTGTGACCCCTTGACTCTGATTACTTTCGCAGAAACAAATCAGTATTCTCAAATCTCCGGGACCTGAATTTTTAGGAAATGGGCCATTGTGATTGTAGTAAGGTTGATGTTTTCAACTAAGAATGAATCGACAAAGCTTCGTATGTATTGGCAACTATTTCTAAAATATCTTTGGTGGGGTCAGGCAGATGGTAAAGCCAATAGGGTGATTGCCTTGTACACAGCCAACCCAGGTTTGATCCTCCGCATCCCATATGGTCCTCCAAACCTGCCAGGAGGGATTCCTGAGTGCAGAGCCAGGAATAACCACTTTTTTGGGCACTGCTAAGTGTGTCCCAAAACACCAAAAGAAAAAATAAAATATGTTAGAATACTCTCTATCTTTCATCAATTCATGAAAAAAGTTTAATCATTATTAGAGTTTAATTGTTTTTTTACAGTGATGACTCTATTGTGGGCTGGAATGATAGCACAGCAGTAGGGCGTTTGCCTTGCACACGGCCAACATGGCCCATCCAGGTTTTATTCTTCCGCCCCTCTCAGAGAGCCCGGCAAGCTACCAAGAGTATCTCGCCCACACGGCAAAGCCTGGCAAGCTACCTGTGATGTATTCAATATGCCAAACACAGTAACAAGTCTCACAATGGAGACGTTACTGGGCCTGCTCGAGCAAGTCGATGAACAACGGGAGGACAGTGCTACAGTGCTACAATTCTATTGTATTATTTCCCACCTTAATTTGTTCCTGATAATCTGCCAAACAAATTTTCAAATAATGCAATGTAAAAAAACAGGATCTTCTCAAGTATTCATTCAGCATCTACTTTGAAGAAACTCTACAGGTGACCATGGGGATTAACAAGATACTGTCTCACACTCCATGCATGTTTGATAAATATTTTTAAAGAAATATTAACATTATTTTGTCAGTGCTTTTGAAAGAGAGGAACCTTTTCTATTTAAACTATAAGAATGGCTAAAAGAAGAAATGTTTACAAACTAAGTCCTGACTTTTGATTAGACTTGTCACTCAGGAAGTTCCCTTCAATTATTTACTTTTTCCTTCATTAATCTTTTTTGCCTAATGATGGGAGAAAGGTGGCTTTCATGTATTTTCAAAATACCCTTCAGAAATATTCACTCTGAGAAATCAAAGGGTCTGAAGCCCAGCCCGCTGCCCAGTGTGGACAGTTACATGGCTCAGGAAAGGCTGCTTGGTGGAGGTAGAGAGGAAATAAGTACCAAGGTAATTACAGAAGAAAATAAAGAAAATAAAATTAACGAAATCCTTTCTATATGACTGGCAATGAGTATCTACAAAGTACTTAAAGCATGCCTGGTACATGAGTGTGGAGTAAATGTCCGTTTTTGTTTCATTTGTTTTGATACTGGGTGACAGAGGTGTTGCTCGGGGCATTTTCTGCCTGTGTTCAGGGATCACTTCTGGAGGTGCTTAGAGGACAATAAGCAGTGCTGGGGATCTGTTTACTGGCTCTAAGTTTTAAACACTGCTCCAGGCTAATTTCAGTCAGATTTTTAGCTATAGACTAATTCAAGTCTGATTTTTTTTTTTTGGTAGAACCACCTTATGGATAGAAGAACATTCTTTCCTTTACTTCAGTGAGTCTTAGCTGCAAGGGTAGTTTATATACCAGTTTATTAAGGGATTATTACCCTTAGCTCAAGTGTAATAAACCCATAATAAACTGGTAGTCTTCAATATCTTATAACAGGAAATCGAATGGTCATTATATGTTTATTTGAGTTAACACAAAGGGCAATAACATGCAAGCTATTAATGGGATAAAAGCAAGTTGGTCATATAGAGGAAACGAGAAAAAGACTGAGAGGCCACTTGTAACATGTTCAACTACCTCAGAAAATCTCAAGGGACCCTTTCAGTGACACTATTGCAAGCCACGCTGCCTAAAAGGAAAAAAATAAGAGAGATAGAAAGAGACAGAGAGCGAGTGAGAGAGGAAGAGAGAGTGAGAAGGAGGGAGGGAAGGAGGGAAGGAGGGAGGGAGAGAAAGAGATGTCTACCACAGAGGAAGGCTGCAGTGGAGGGGGGCATGGCGGGAGGTAGGCAGGAGGGAGCAGACTTTGGTGGTGGGAAATTTACAGTGGGGAAGGGATGGGTATTGGAATAGTATATGACTGAAACTCATGAACAACTTTGTAACTGTGTATCTCACTGTTACTCGATAAAAATAAATGTTAATCTCAAGAAAGGTAGTACAGCAGGTAGGGCATTTGCCTTGCATGTAGCCAACACGGGTTTGATCCCAGACATCCCATACAGTGTCCTCATGCACCACCAAAAGTAATTAATGAGTGGCAAGCCAAGAGTAACCCCAGATCATAGCCATGTGTGGCCCCAAAAGTAACAAACAAAAAAATCTCAAGTACCTTAGGCAAGCCACAAAACTGGAACAAAGATTCCCATCACATATCTGAAAGGACTTATAATTCATATTCTCTCAAGAACCCTTACAGATCAATCAAAACAAATTAAAAACAGGCAAATGACTTATAAACATATTCTTCACAGAACAAGGTATTCCAATTGCTTCTGGGAAAAACACCTGAAAAGGCACCTTTGGGCAGTTTGATGAAAATTAGACGCAGTTCTCCCACTAGAATGACTGAACTATAAAGCATGAGAGTAACAAACAGATGAGCTAGAGTGACTGAGCTCCTCATTTCGTGCTGACAGGATGATCCAGGCCCTTGGAGAAAGTGTTTCTCACAAAGTTAAATGTTGGCTTCCCCCGTGACCCAGCATTTCTGAGGATCTGCTCTTCCAAAAATAAAAATAAAAATGAAAGTTTAAGTCTTCAAATATTTGTACAGAAATGTTTTTGAGCTGTTAAAGCTCCAAGCAAGAAAGTGCATATTTCTCAATGGAATGGTATTACTCGGTGTATTAAATAATTGACCGTACTGTCATTCAGCTAAAATAATGCCTATCATTGTGTGATTCACTGTTTTGTTTCAGTTTAAAAGTGTCCATTTTTTCTGGAACCAAGATCATCAGTCCCTCATCAGAGTGAAATCATCTTATAATGTGTAGCCTGAAATGTGTGTTGAAGTGAAATCGTTTTATTTAGGAAGCGTGAAAGAGAAGAAGAAACCTCATCAGAGAAAGTACATACCCTCAGTTGAGAGATGGGAAATCCCAGAGTTGAATGCGTCTAACCAAAATTATTATGTGCAAGTTAATTTTTGTTACGAAGACTCCCCAGGGAATACCCATTGCCAGGCCTGGCAGTGCCATGCTTCTCAGTGTCTCCGGGGTGGGAGGCCATGTGGTGCCTCGGAACTGGTACGCCCAGGTCGTGCACTCCAGTTCTTCATGCAGCCACCTTAGCCCCAGCTCTTACTCTTTTATCAAATTGCCATTCAATTTTCCAGAGGCTCCCACCAGCAGTCCATGAGGATTTCTCCTTCTGCATTCCCATTCCTTTGAGCTGTCTCCTGGGCCCCCAGATCTATATTAAGTCACTTGCTAATCTGGTCATTGTTTATCTCCTGCCACTATGCAATGTATTTTTAGTCTAACAGTAAATTTTGTATTCAAATTTTTTATGTTAAGGTTCAGAATGGGTTCACTTTGGCCTTAGTGGGTGAAATTTTGATGGGGAGAGAAGCCTTTCTTTCTATATTAGTTTTATGATCGTTTTGGAGTTAGTGTCAAATGGATCTTGAGGGGCTGGAGCAGTAGCACAGCGAGTAGGGCGTTTGCCTTGCACACCGTCGACCCAGATTCGATTCCCAGCATCCCATCTGGTCTCCCGACCTCTGCCAGGGGTAATTCCTGAGCCAGGAGTAACCCCTGTGCAACGCCAGGTGTGACCCAAAAAGCAAATCAAACAAACAAAAGCAAATCTTGAAGCCCCCTGTCCAAGTATTATTGCTTTCTAGGCCACAGCGTTGTTGCAAATGCCTGACCTGAACTTTCCCTTTCCTTGAAGGTGTATAAGGGAGAAGAAGCCACATTCCACATCTCAGGCCTCCAGTCCAACACCGACTACAGGTTCCGCGTGTGCGCGTGCCGACGCTGCTTAGACACCTCTCAGGAGCTCAGCGGAGCCTTCAGCCCCTCTGCGGCGTTCGTGTTACAGCGGAGTGAGGTCATGCTTCCAGGGGACATGGGGAGCTTAGACGATCCCAAAATGAAGAGCATGATGCCGACTGATGAACAGTTTGCCGCCCTCATTGTGGTTGGCTTCGCAACTCTGTCTATTTTGTTTGCCTTTATATTACAGTACTTCTTAATGAAGTAAACCAACCCGACAAAACTAGAGGTATGAATTTAATTAATGCTACACATTTTAATACACACATGTATTCAGCTAGTCCCCCTTTTTAAGCCCTTTTGTTCTTTATCTTCTCCTCATTTTACAGATTTAGCTAGGAAAAAAACAACTATCAGTGTTTTGGTGCACCTTTTTGAAATGCAAAACTAGGAAGAGATTAAACTGGATTTTTTTTTTCAGGAAAATTTAAAAAAGAAGAAAAGTAAACCAGATACCAAAATGCTAGCTTTTTTTTTTTTATTATTACATTTTCTTTAAATTTTTCAGATAGGCCTTTATTCTGTTTTCACTGATGTCTTGTGCAAACTTTTGATATTTTTTTCTTCCATGCTGCAGTTTAGTAATTTATATTCACCAGTCACTGCTTATGTCTTGGTCATCTGTAACTGTGAACACGAATCACAGTGTGAATAGTGACAGGGCTAGGAACTCAGTATTGTCAGAGTGTCACCACACGGCAACCGCCACAGCGCCAGCAGATAAGAGATGCGTTCACTCAGATAAGGCTGCCCTAAACCACCCTCTTGTCTCTCCGTTATTTAACTGTGTTTAGCTCATCTAAATCAAAATGTGTCCTTTAACCTAAAATGTTTTAATGATCTGTATTCCTTATGATTTTAACACTAAGAGCTGCCTATCTCTCAGAAATCAAGTAACCAAAACGCACCTATAAAATCATGGAGCATTATAGATTTTTTTCCTGTTGATTCATAGCAGTAATTTTAAGAGGGCATTGTGCAATAGTTAGTTGTTTCCTTGTTCAGCTATTTTAAAAGCTGCTTTAACGTGTTCGTGTGTCTTTGTATATAACTACTCCTAATCTAATCACTAGAGTTATTATATATTCTGTTGTGTTTGACCAGAATTATATGACGAGAACTGGTGCCAGTTTAGTGCCTCTGCCCATCTCCACGGTGCACGCTAGTTGCGAGCAGTCTTCTCGATGTTAGCTCATCCTCTTGGGAAGTTTTGTGTTTAGGCTGTTCTTTGAGGTATCCACGAAGTGATGGAGTTGCAGGACCTTCATTCAATGCACACGTTGCTAGCCTGACAGCAGATGAAAACTGATCAAAGCCAAGAGAGTCATCTAAAGTTGTAGTTCTCTGTCTGTGGGGTTGCCCTGACCTCGTGTGACGCAGAAATGGTTTTTTGGTGATAAGCACAGGGTGTGTGAGGGTCAAGGAGCCTCGATTCTCTCGCTGGATCTGTCACTAACTTGCTGCGTGATCTGAACATGTTACTTTACCTCTCTGTGCCTCAGTTTTCCCATGCATTAAAAAATAAAAATAAAATGAAATAAAATGGGGATTCTAATGTTTGTAAGTGCTTTGAGATCCTTGATCAACAGGTGCTATTGGAGTGCAAAGTGTTACTCTTGCATGTTTGAGTCATGAGATAATCAATTTTAACCCAAAGTCATTGGATTATTTATATGAAGTCCATAATGTTCGAGTACCTCAGGGACATTTAAGAGTTGGAGGTGCAAATATATTCCAAAAGGGTGCAACAGACACAGTGTATCCCCCTGCTTCTGTTTTTGTATATTTTTGCGACTTGGTTTTTCTTGATCATAGCTTTTTTGTTCTTGGTCTATGTTGTCTAAGATTCAGTATCCTGTACTAGCTTATAATATTCCCATACCAAAGTCATGGGGAAACCAACATTATTTTGTTTTTGGTTTATTTATACTATATTCTGCATACAGTACTTTAAATGCCAATTACAGTGCAATCTTTATTTATTGTAAAATTTTTTAAATGTACTTATGTACTAATTTTCCCTTGTAGCATGTTATTTTTGTGTGAGTGTTTTATACTTTTTTGTAATTTTAGGTCAGTCTTGTTCCTTGGCAACATCTGTAGTATTACCAATCTTCTGACATTTTCTTGTGTTTATAAAGATATACGCATCTAGTGCATTAAATGCCAAAAAAAATTTTCATTATCAGTGATTGAGACGTTTACATATACCCAAAAAAATCATAATCATCTCTTGAAAGAAAATACTAAGATCAATGAATTATTCTGTGTGCCTATATCAATGTAGTCAGTACTAGAGAATTGTTCTGTATTTTGTTATTGAGTATAATTAATTAGGTTAAGTAGCCTCACAAACTGATGTCATCAAAGTAAATCTATTTTTGCCAAAGTTCTGGCCTTCCAAAACTTACCCCCTCTATTTAAAGGTGTTACGACCCACTGAACCATTGCAGCTGCATTTTCTGAAACAATTTCATGCAGGAAAAGAGATTTTTTTTTTTTTAGCGATGAAAATTCCACTAAGAACAAGGGGTCGAAAAACTCCTTTTTTAAAAAAACACTTTAGTACTGCTCCCGTCGAGAACTTCTTAGCGTTGGTCAGAATTTTTCAGTGAAGTAATACTTTCTACAGTCCAAAATTTCTCTGGATATGTTATCTAGTCAATATCTTCCTCGTCTCTGTTTAGCCACCAGAAAACGAAGTGTGTGGAACACTATCTGCCGGCACTTTATTTTATTGCTCTCTGTTATTTGGTCTTCATTATTATCCCTTCAGTCCAAACATTGTTACTCCGTCTGGCACTGTTTTCTATCACAAGTATGTATATGTGATATCTATATATATATAACTCTCTCTATATATTGCCATTACACATGAACAGTAAAATAAAGTGTTATGTTAACCCTCTCTCTTTGCCCTTCCGCATTACGTAGGAATGAGTGGCTTTCTGATGTCAAACTCATCCCTGGCACAAGAAACTCCAGTCATGTGAAACAAACAGCCCTTTTTCCTCAAAGACATTGTATCGAAAGAGAACTTTTTTAAAAAGATTTTTTCATAGTACCTGCCTTGTTCTTATCAACTTGAAATGTTGGCATTTTCTAACCTTGTTTTGTTGGCTACAGTAATTCAGTATTCATGTCAAAATTGAAAAGTGCCCTAATTGAATGTGTTTGAATGTTATCCTTGCACAATTCTTTAAATTGAAAGACAAAAATGTTTTACCTCACTGTTGCTGAACATACATTCCAAGCTTTTCAACTTTAGGAGAAAAAAAAAATTCATACGTTTTCCTGTATTGTAAATTTTAGACTATTTCATATACATTGTATTAAAACTGCCATATCAATTTTAATGTATAGATTTTGCAAATACTATGCTCTATGTAATACCTAACTGTATCTGTAGTGTATATGTAATATATTTATGCCCAATAAATGTTTTAATTCTTTCTGACTTAAGTCGAATCTTTCTGCTATAGATAGGATTGCTGTTGTTGTTTACATTTTAGAAACAAACCTGTCGCAGAAGTTGCTAGCTCAGAGGCCAGCCTGGATGGCAGAGCATGCATCTCTTGCATCTCTCGCTGTGCTGAGGGCATGCTGCAGTCTCGCTCCTACTGCTTGTCCCGTGCAAGGTTAGTTCGAGGAGCACACACTCCGGTGAATCACTTGACACAGGAAACACTACAAAATCTTGGGGATTGATTGGCTCAAATCCTCATGTTCCTTTTAAAAACAACCGTGACATTACCTAGACAATCTTGGGTATATACACTGAAACACACGGAATCTGAAGGCTGCCAACAGAGAATCAACACGTGTGGTGATGTGAGCTGGGACTGGACACAGGATCCGTGGGCCAGAAAGAGTGCTGAATTTTTACACATGCAGAGGGTCAGATTGAACTGAATGGTTTCTATGTAGATGTTCTGGTTATACTGACCACAAGGAGGGAGAGAAAGGCCCTGCTCCACTGCAGAGCTGACCTGGTCAGATTAAACCTTGCACGAGTTCTTTCTGCACATTGGGCAACCCTTACTGAAGAGCAGATAGTTCTTAGAGTAGAAGAGACATTTGCATGTAAGAAAACTCTCTCAAAGTCAACTACAGAAGCAAAAAATAAATTTAGCATAAAATAAATACAAATAAGAGTAAAAACAGGTTTGGAGGGAGAGGACAGCACAGAAGACTCTTGCCTTGCACTTGGTCAACTGGGTTTAATTATCAGGAATTATCCCTAAGCACAGAGCCAAGAGTAAGCCCTGAGCACTATCAAGTGGGCCCCCTTGCCCCAATAAAAAATAAATAAAAACAAAAAATACCAGTAGATGCACAAATCTCTCCCATACACACCCATTTTTTTTTTCAGCAGCTACTTCTTTACCTTTGCAGAAACCTACAATTATATTGCCTGGAAGAGATAAAATAAGAAGTTTCTGGACTGGGAAATACCCACAGTTGAAAGTGAAGGTACTACGTAAAAAAGTAGATGAAGAGTACTGAACATACAAGTACTACAGAAGGAACAGAAAGCGAGGAATTTGCCAAGAAGGCATTTTTCAGAATGAAGAGCTACAAGGGTTCTGGAAACAAATGAATGAACACTCAGGAGCTGTACCAAGGAACAGTCTTTTGGAATTTCAAAACGCTAGAACTAGGAGTAGCTCCCAGTAGCTCCTCAAAACACAAAAATTAGTCACGTTAGAAGAATACAAAATCAGAATATATTTCCCTGTAGCTACTCTGGACACTAAGATGTCAATGAAGCAATTACGTCCAGATTATGAAAGAAAAGTATTTTCTACCTGCCTGCTCTCAGCCAAGAGAAAATTACAAGGAAGGTGTTTTCTGAAATGTGAAAACTCACAAATTGCCTCCCATGCCCCTTTCTGAAGAAGATTCTAAAGATTGTTATGCTGCCCATATAAGTGAAAACAAAATGGCAACTCCAGGGATTCTGCATCCAGTGTTTTTCATAAAGGTCAGCAATTAAATCTCTGGTCCTTTGCTCCGGAAAGACCTAGGCAACTTTTACTCTTTCTAGCCTGAAGACATCATTATCCACACACACATGCGTACGTGCATGCACACACACACACACACACACACACACACACACAAACAATCTATTGCTATAGTGTGTTGTTTGGGGTACACAAGAGGGTGCGGGTTCAGAGGTAGTACAACTTCCAAGAGGACATTTGTAAATCTTCTTTACCAAAATCAGTTTTTTTCAAAACTCTAGGAATTAACCAAAAACTTTTAACATGTGAGCTATGATAAGAACAGATTTTGTGGGTATTTTGAGTCCATCTACTCTCTCTCAGCTATTGAAACCCAAAAGCCCTATAGCCACTGGAGCATCTAAGTTGGAGCAATCCAAATTGTTATCCACAAAGCCTTGTTATTATTTCACCTGCCTCACAGCTCCCTGGAAATGCACTCAGGATGGGTACTCGATCATTGTATAACTGAAACCCAAGCACAAAAATTTGTAAGTCTACAACTCTGCCTCATGGTGTTTCACTAATAAAAATTTTTAAAAAGGAAAAAAAGAAATGCACTCGGGACATTTGTTGGAAAATAATGGATGTAGTAGTTTGGCCTAGCAACCGTTTAACAATTGTTCTAGTAGTTGGAGTGTATAAGACCCAAACTTTGAAGACTCAGAGAGAGAGAGAGGTCCACAGGGTCTTTAAAAGCTTTGGGAATTCTTGGATCCTTGGGGGTCTAGAATACCGTCTGGACAGACAGGGCTTAGAAAACACCATGCCAGATGCCAGTCTTCCTCTGTCCTCACTCAAGTAGGAGACGAAGGCTGAGGTATTCCTGCGCACTGAAAATCAACTTCAGCATTCCCAGTACCTAGACAAAGAATGGAAAACTTACCATTTCGTGGCATTGAAGGAAATCTGTAAGCAATCATTAACTGCCTCTTCGTGCAACAGGGACGCTAGCAACTAGATACAATGTCAGGAAGGATTCGATGCAAATTCATAAATTTACCTAAGAATGATGGAGGGAAGAATAAAATATAATTCAGTCTTAACTATAGTATTTTAACCATTTTGATGAAATTTTGTGTGCAGTAGAATGTAGTTTTGTGGTAAATAAAACAATTTTATGAAATAAAACCTCTTCCCTTTTTCTGAGTCAAAGAATAAATAACACTTCTTAATTTTTTTTTCCAGAGAACAAAAGGTTTTTGTTTTCTATGCTGATGAGTTGTAATGGAAAAGTATTCAACTCAGGTAAAGCATCTTATATATATGAGCTGATGGCTTTTCACCATCGTTGTTTCACAAAGTGAGAGTGCAAAATTGCTATAAATGGTACATGGTGTAACATAATTTGAATTGTATAATTAAGGACTGGTTCAGTGATAAACTGCATACTTTGCATGCATAAGTCCCTTGCACTAAAACAAAACAAAATCCTAATATTAAAAAAAAAATAAGCAAATTTAGCAAGACATGACATATTAATATTCAACAACGTAAGATAGCACAGCGGGTAGGGCGTTCGCCTTACAAGCAGCCAACATGGCCAACCTGAGTTCGATTCCTCCGCCCCTCTCGGAGAGCCCGGCAAGCTACCGAGAGTATTCGATATGCCAGACACAGTAACAACAAAGTCTCCAATGGAGACGTTACTGGGCCCGCTCGAGCAAATAGACGATCAACGGGAGGGCCTTTACCTTTACCTTTACATTAGAAGTCTAATACATTAGTCAAGTGTATATCTGAACACTAGTAATGAACCATCAAAGAAGGAAATTAGACAATTCCCTTTCTGACTAAATTTCACCCAAAAGTGCAAGACTTGTGCATTAAAAATGCAAATCATGAAGTAAAAATATTAATTAGGGCCTAGAGAGAAATAGTACAGGAGATAGGGGAATTGCCTAGCACATAGTAGATCCTGGTTTAAATGCCTGCACCACAAAGAGTTCTTTTGAGTACTGTCAGAGGTCATTCCAGTAGTGCAGAGATGGGAATAATCCCTGAGCACCACAAATGCAGCCTTAATCCCCCATGCCTTACCACCACCACCAAGATAAAATCTTTTTATTTAAAATATTTTAAAGCGGGGCTGGAGCAATAGCACAGCGGGTAGGGCGTTTGCCTTGCATGTGGCCAACCCGGGTTCGATTCCCAGCATACCATATGGTCCCCTGAGCACCGCCAGGGGTAATTCCTGAGCGCAGAGCCAGGAGTAACCCCTGTGCATTGCCAAGTGTGACCCAAAAAGCAAAAAAAAAAAAAAATTAAAAGCAATGAAGTAAATGAAAAGTTACTGCATTTTAATTTTAATATTTTGTGTTTGGGGACCACACCAGGCAGTGCTTGCTCCTAGTAAGCAAACTTACTGGATATCTCTTTGCTCAGGGATCTTCCTTGCAGGTCTTGGGGGACCATATGTGGTGCCAGGATCCAACACAGGTCAGCCACATGTAAGGCAAGTGCCCTACCCATTGTACCATCTCTCTGGCTCAAGATGTTTAATATTTTTACATTGAAAGTTTTAAAATCATAAAAATTGATTTGCAGGTTAAATACAAGCCCCATCAAAAGTCCAGTTGCCTTTTTTTTTAAAGGCCACCATTTTTTTAAACTTGACAATCAAGTTTTTAGACCCAAATGAATATTTGGGGGCTTCAGATTAGCCAAAAAAATCTGGAAAAATATTTCTTTTTTCAAAAAGAGTCTCACAGTTCACTCTTTCAAAATTTATTACAAGACCATGTTAATTCACATAGTCTGGCATCGGCACGAGGATGAATATAGATTAAAGGAATAGAATCGAAACTTCAAGCATAAAGTCATATCACTGTGGTTAATTGGTTTTCAGCAAAAATGCCAAGATCACTCAGTAGAGAACAGGACAACCTTTTAACAATTGGTACTGTGATGACTGGAAATCGACATGCAAAACAAACTTGGATTCCTGCTTCATACCACATACAAAAAAGAATAGAAAGAAAAACCTAGATGTAAAAGTTAACCTTTATTTAGGCAATCATTTCTTAGATATGATACCAAACACACCAAGAAAAATTGGACTTTCTCGTAAGACCTCAAGCTTCAAGTGTACTATCAAGAATATTAAAAAAAAAAAACTAAAACACTACAATAATGGAAGAAAGTTTTCAAATTATATATCTGGTCAGTCTTTTATCTATTTATCTAGCTGTGTATCAACACTACATATGATTCACCAAGCACTGCCCAGAGTGATCCCTGAGCACAGAGCCAGAAATAAGCCCTGAGCACTTCTGGGATGGTTTCAAAACAAAAGGGAGAGGGGAGCTATTACATTTTATTCTTAAGAAGACCACCCCAGTCTGAGATATTATCAACAAAAGATTTTAATAGACATTTTTCCAAAGAAAATTTACAAGGGGCCAATAACCAAGTGAAAAGAGGGGTTTTTTGTTTGTTTTGTGTAGTTTTT